CTTATTTTTTACCATTAGCAGAGTGTCCATTTCACTTTTCATATTTTTAAAATAATTATACACATTAAATATTATTTGACGACCCTGCTCTTTAATAACACTACGTTTTTTTCCGTCCATTTTCAGCAAGATTGTTTGAAAATAAAAGTATATAATATTTGACACACAACTTGTTCTCAACTGCACTGCTGCGCTACTGAGTATTGGAATGATTTACTGCTAAGGCGTGGCTTAGGTAGAAATCACAAATTTTGACCATTGCCCAATGCGATAATATGCAAATTAGATGCCTTCCGAATTGACGATTACTCTATCATCTGCATACCGCAGGTTATTAAGCTTTACTCCGTGTGCTCCGAGTACAGATTGAATATCAGTACAAATGCAGAAGTGTTAAAAAGGCTCAAAAGGACTACGAAATCATAGAGTACCTACACAAAACAAGAAAGCTGGAATATTTAGGCCACATTACCAGAGGTGCGAAATATGAGATATTAAGGTAAAATCAAGTTTAAAAGATCCATGGGAAGACGAAGAATTTCCTGGCTGAGAAACCTAAGAGAGTGGTATAGTTGCAGCTTAGTAGATCTTTTCAGAGCAGCTACCAATACGGTACGGATAACTATGATGATAGCCAACCTCTGATTTTTGTAATGTTCTTCTAAATAGTAATAATGTAGTAGGTACCGATTTCTGATTGGTCAACAAATCATAAATAAAAGTCTTATCAATGCACATTAAAATCTATACTTAATAAATGTCACTTCAAAAAAATGTCAAAACATTTCATCAAATTATCGTTCTAAAATTTTCTGAAACTAAAAATTTCAATTGATGTAACCACACTCAACAGCTTAATTTACATTAACACTAAATTTCCGGTATTTCACACACTCAATTATCGCTTTCATATGGAATAAATAGAAGAGAGGAAACAGAAAACTTTTTGAAATAAATTTTTAAAAGCTTTGCCGAAGAAAAATATTGTGGAACACTTATATACAGGTAATACTATTTATATATTTAATCCATATATTCAAGATATAATTTTCAGCCAGTATGTAGTCATCGTCATCAACTTGTATGCCTCCACTGATAGACATTGTCCTTCAGCTCTTTAAATCTGTCTCTGTCTTGTGTGGCTTCCATCCAGTTATTACTTCAGATCTTCAGTTCCCCTGCCTCGTAGAGCTTCTTGTAGTGGCCTCCACTCGATAATACTTGTTGTGCATAGGTGGTCTGTTAATCTGGCTGCATGGTCTATCAAATTCTATTGTAGTGACGTGATTTTTTTGATAGCGACTGTTTTTTTTTGTTCCACGACGTATTTCTTCGTTTGGGATTCGGTCTCTTAAAGAGACACCCAACATCTGATACTCCATAGAGCCAGATTTCGCTCTTTTTCTGTCTTTTTGAATTGATCAGTGGGTATCTTTATTTAATTTCTTCACTGTTGTGTAGTTGGAGTTTCGCCAGCTCTCTTTGTTTTACTTATTAGCTCTTTGATATGGAGGCTAAGTTTTTCTTTAGCGTCAAGACGGTCGGTCAGCACTCCCTTTCCGCTTCATTTAGCCCATTCGTTATGTTGTCTTCTGGGGGAATCCATTATTCTATTGTGTTTTATGATCATCTTGGTTTCAAGTTGACATTTAATGTTATCTTTACTTGAATTAATCTGTTAAAGCTCCCTATCGAAGATTTTTTACGCACTTCGATATCTTTCATCTTTTATTTTTTTTTCATTATGATAAAATTTATCATTTTTGACACTACCACTTGAGCTTATCCATGTCCATTTACGTTGAGGCTTTTTATCGAAAAAGAGTTTATCTTTTAGAAGATAAGCAGTCTTTGCCCTCGCTAATTTCTTTTTCGCATTAAAGTAGCTCCTAATTATTATGTAACATGTTAGTGTTGCATGTAACACTATTTCTAGGTACTCATAAAAACCTTCAATTTCTTCATCCGAGTGCGAAGTCGTAGGAGTATATGTCTGGATATTCTGTAGCATAAGCTATAATGTATTTTTATGAATGAGAGAGTAATAAAACAATAAATTATGTATGCAAATCCCTAAACTGTTGATACGGGTGACTCAATGAAAAACAGCTATTTGTCAACAAGTTTACAGAAGTATATAGGAAAACAATTTTTAAATTGAGTATGACCACCAGGTATAAAGGTTGGAGCAGAATAGAATACAATAGTTGTGAGGGTTACTAATCCCTAAATAAGGTTGCCAGTGTCGGAGTGATGGAGGTTAACAGGTACTAATGAATTTGCAAGAAATGTAAGATATTTATTTTATTGGTTATATATAACTAATAAAAGTTTAATAAGTACCTACCCATTTGTAAAATAAAGTTTAATTCTTTAGATAAAATAAAACGTTTTATTTTATCTGAAATGAGTGCATTCCACGAAGTAAGGGTTTCAACAATCAAACATTTAATTCTTTAATTCCAGGAATCTACGACAGTAATTGACCAGATAATTACCTTCCAAACTTATTCCACAGAAAATGCGATAGTGGGTTTTTCCATTTTGTAGGAAGGTCAAAGTGGCGCATTTAAAATTTTTAACAGTTCACTAAAAGTAGGTACTTCAGTTGCAAGGTGCAGTTTATTGTGTATACTAGTTTTATGGAAAATTTGGAAGTGCCGTGTAAACGCCGAAAAATTGGTTCTTTAACAGTTAATGAAAAAACATTAATATTTAATTGTTTTAAATCATTTACAGACAAACGTTTATGTGAAAGTGTTGATGAGACCGTTGAGTTAGTTAGCAGTACACTTGGTGTTGGGAAATCGACGATTTACAGAGTTATTAAAAAAGAGAAATGTGGTAGTTTTCAAATGCCACGTAATGCTCCAGGGAAACCAAAATTTCAAATAGAATATCATTTTAAAGAAGGACTTCGACGGAAAGTGTATGAATTCTGCTTTAGACAAGAATTTCCAACATTGGATAAAGTTCTTGTCTCAGTTCGAGATGATAAGGATTACCCAGAAATGAGTCGAAGTACGTTATGGAAACTTTTAAAAGAAATAGGCTTCCGCTGGAAAAATAATCCCAGAAAGTCTATTTTATTAGAAAGAAGCGATATTGTCATATGGAAAAGACATTTTCTAAGAACTATAAAGGAAATGAGAAACCAAAAAAGAAAAATATTTTGCCTTGATGAAACATGGATCAACGAGGGTCATACACCAAATAAATTTTGACAAGATAAAACTGTTACAAGTCAAAGGCACGCTTTTGTAAATAACTTATCTACTGGTTTAAAACCCACCATCATGAAAGGGACGCAGGCTGATAATAGTACACATTGGCAGTTCAGACGGTTTTGTTGAAGGTGGTTTATTAACTTTTGAATCAACTCGTACCGGTGACTACCATGAAGACATGAACGATGATGTCTTTCAAGAATGGTTCGAACAAATGATAGATCTTCTTCCTAAGAACTGTGTAATAGTAATGGATAATGCAAGTTATCACTCCAGATTTATAGAAGGACTGCCCACAACCAAGTGATTAAAACAAGACTTGCAGAATTGGCTGAGTTCAAAAAATATTACGTACCATCCCGGATCTATAAGAAAGGAACTTTATTCGTTGTGTGCCCTTCATAAAGAAAAATTTAAAAAATACGAAATTGATGAAATTGCCAAAAATCGTGGAATGACAGTACTTAGATCCCCACCATATCATTGTGAATTAAACCCGATTGAACTGGTATGGGCACAGATAAAGAGTGAAGTTTCAAGAAAAAATACCACTTTTAAAATTCATGATGTTAAACAGTTGTTTTTGGAGGCCGTAAATAATGTAAAACCTGAAAACTGGGAAAAGGCAGTAAATCACACTATTAAAAAAGAGGAAAAAATATGGAAGCTGGACAATATTACTGCTAAAATGATCGAGACAGTTATTATAAATCTTGGTTCTGAAAGTTCATCTTTTGAATCTGATTTGGATTTGTAACAAGTAGCTGTAAGTTTTATATTAATATTTTTATTCATCTATTTAACATACCTTAGACGGTTTTAAAAACTCTTTTTCTCTTTTGTAATTTTTAAAAATTAAAAAAAATGTGAATTTTTTAAACCTTTTTAATGTAGGCCAGTCAGTTCTAATATAGTGTGTGATTAAAGAGGTCACTTTTGTTTACATACACATAACACTTACAACACTGAAATAATTGATTTATTTTTTACAATTATTCAAAGTAATTTTTCAATTAATCTTGAGCACGCCCATGGAGTGGTCGAAGGTACCAGTTAAAATTATGCTAATTACTCTCTCGTTCATAAAAATAAACTATAGTATATACAAGGTAATAAATTGATAATCTTTATTCTTATAATGAATATAAAAAATTAGAACGGCAGTTAAATTGATTTACCAAGGGGAGATTTGCAGTGAATATTTTTAATCCTCAATGTTCGACTCCACTAGCAATGATAAATGTTATCCTTCACATAGGAGACGGCTGTTAAATACTAACAAAAAACTAAACAAATGGACAAAATACATTAAATAAGTGCTTTAAAACCAACAGAATAGAGCAATTCAAAATATAAGAAGAAAAATTTAAATGACATTAAAAAAGCAGCAAAAATGGCAATGTGCACTTATATTACGTTGATTTTGAAAACACATTTAACAAAGTAAGACATGATAATTTGGTCCAAATTCTAAATAAAAAAGGTAAACAAAAGTTCCTTAACAATAATAACAAACCTTCTGAAATCAAAGAGCACAAATTGTTATAGTTAACGAACCCAGTTCAGAAACTGATATCAAGAGAGGAGTGACAAAAAATAATTTATTATATCCCCATTTCTATTCAAAATGTTTTGATATAAGTATATATTTTTTTGTATAACAAATATACTTCTTTTACTAAAGCCCAATCATACTATTTGTATTTCTCAACCATTACTCTATAATATAAAAATGACAGTATTCTTTAATTGTATTAACATTTTTTGTTTCAGTCTTCGTCTCGTCCACAAACTCGAGGCGCGAAAGATCAACCAACAGGAATGTCGTGCGGAAAAGGTCGTGGAATATGTCCAACAGAAATAGAAAACCGCCTTCAAGAATATTCAGAGAATACGCAGTTTCTGGTAAACAATGTTAATACTTTTACTTTTAAATTAAAACAAAATTATTATCTTGGTATAATTAGCTTTTAATTGAGACAATGGGATGTTTTTCTATTTCTATAGCTTATCTGATAATTCCTGGTTTATAGAAACTGATACTGTTTTGACCTGTATGAAGATGATGTTGGCCTAGAGGTGAAATTGTATCGGGATTGCGAAGGGAAATGGACGGAAATGGAACGTTCCTAGATAATATTTTCTATCCTCTATAAGATCGTGAGCAGTCTGCACAAGGAATTTTATAAACTTCGTATTGTTCATTTATAATGTTGTCTTTGACGGATTGGACAAGAGATGAAAGTTTTTGTTGTGGGGTAAATATTATCCGTATTTTCTTTGATTTGCAGCGGATCTTCTTAAATAATTGCTGCAAGGGCCTATTGATCTAAAAACAAAGGTGTTAATGACTGAATTATAAATTAGTTTGTGAAGGCCGGTGTTAAAAATTGACATGCAAGTAGCGGTTGGTATGGGTGGTTTTTTGTAAACAGATTAATAGAATTCCTGGGATTGATTTTTGTTGATGAGTATGCCGAGGAACGATAATGATGAACCAGTTTCTATCGACAACGTGAACAAGATACTAAAATGTTTACCATTCAAATGAGTTTAATCATTTCCTTTTCTTGATATGATAGATCTTATAGTTTTTTGCCAATTAATAAATAAAATTCGTGATATTGAATATCTTGGTAGTTGACGTATCAACTTTAAATGTGGTTTTCGTTACATTACTTTGGAATTATTAGCTGAATCATAAAATCTGTGATATCAAGAATTTAAAAATGAAGTGAAATGCGCTTTATCAAGTATTTTTAATATTATAGGAACAACAATTATACGATATGGAAGCTGAAGTGAAAGAGATGCACCAAGAACTGGTAGCTGTCCAAAAAGAACGAGAACATCTAGAACAGCACAGGAAGATGTTGTGCTCACCTCCTCCCTGTAGCCTTCCAACATGTCCTCCTACACCATGTTCCCCAATTCCTCCATGTAATCCACCTTGTTATCCACCACCAGTAACTTGTGGACCAGTAAGTACTAACGTTATAGATGTAGATAATTCCTCACATTTTAATAACACTATGATTACTATTGCAGCCGTGTGAAGTCCAGCTCCGAGAACTAAGAGAACAGTATAAAAGACTCCAAGATGATTTTAAAAGTAAACTCACAGAAGTCGCTGGTCTCAGAACTGACAACGAAAAATTGAAAGATAGAACACGACAAGCTGAAGATGCAAAGAAAGATGCTGAAAAACAAGTACGCGATCTGGAACTAGAGATTAAGAGACTCAAAGGCAATCTTAAAGGACCCAAGGTATGACAAATATATATATATATATATATATATATATATATATATATATATATATACAGTGCTTTTCAGATAAAATTATCCACCTTAAATAACTTTTGAACCTCTAATTTTTTGGAAAAAACGCAAACACACGTCAATTAATATTTGAAGGGGGAGACATAATATCATATTAAAGGTTGCTGAAAAATGCACCCTCTCACCCCCTGTATCAACCCTTTATTTTTTTTAATTACTTCCCCCGTTTTTTGTTTTATATTTGGATTCTCATTTTTGTTCTGATTTCAAAAATGTATAATACCTTTGGCTTGAAGTGATTAGTTTATCAGATAGACAATTTTCCTGTTAACAAGACAGTATCTCCCTCACCTTAATTGACTCTAACAAAATAGGTTGTAGCATAATTTAAACTCTTTAAATATTTAACCGTACTATTTGTAGTACCTTTAAAAACCAAGAAACAAGAAAATTCACTTTTTATTCAAGTTTTATCAAAGGTTTTCGATATCATTTTTACATTTGTTTTAATCGGTTAATAGCGAGAATTTCTTATAACTTGTAAGTAACAGCTTATTTTGATACGTGTGCAATTTGATCGCTGAAATGGTGTATACTTTGCAAAAAAGAATCGAAATTATAGGTTTATACTACAAAAATAATAATTGTGCAAGAGCTGCTGCTAGAATTTTTAATGAAACACACCACAATAGGCATGCAACCCATAAGTGTGTGATTGAACTGATGCAGAAAAAATTAGATCAAGAGGGTCAGTTTGCAATAAAAAACATAACCGACAGGAACTTGTAAATAAAAAAGCAATCCAAGTAGCTGTTTTAGGGCAAGTTAACTTAGACTCTTAACAATCACAGTCACTGTCAACAATAAGCAGAGCAATCGGTGTTTCATCTTCTACAGCCTTCCGAGTCCTCCACAAATTTAAGTTTTATCCATATAAAATTAAATTAGTACAAGAGTTAAATGAAGAAGATTTGGATCGTCGTCCCGAATGTTGAGAATTAATGATAAAATGCATCATTAACAATTCACAATTGTTAAAAAATATTTGCTTCTCGGATGAATGCTCATTCTCATTAAACGGTTTGGTGAACAGATATAATTGTCGATACTGGGCTGAGAGTGATCCACATATTGTATGCGAATTTCACACACAGCATCCTCAAAGGTTAAACGTATGGTGTGGTATTCTACGTAATCACATTATCGGACCCTTCTTTATCACTGGAAACTTAAATGGTGCATCGTATCTTGAATTATATAGCCAAGTGGTTGATCGTTAGAACAATAGTAGCAAATGATGATAACCTTTCCGATGATTTGGTTGTATTTCAACATGATGGAGCTTCTTTACACTTTGCTTTACCTGTGCGATAATTTTTAAACGAAACGTTTCCCAGTCCTTGGATAGGTAAAAGACGACAGATGATCGATTGGCCACCTAGGTCACCGGATTGAATACCCCTAGGCTTCTTTTTATGGGAGTATTTAAAAACAAAAATTATGCTACTCAACCAGAATATCTAGATGATTTACAACAAAGAATGGAGGATGAATGTCGACAATTAAATGCAGACGTGTTAAGCAATGTCAGAGAAGAATTTCAAAATAGATTGTACTATTGTATGGAAGTGAAAGACAGTCATTTTGAACAATTATTGTAAAAATTTTTAGTAGTGAAATTTTTGTTCTAAATGTGTGTAATACAATTGTTAAAAAATAATTTTTTTTCAATCCAATTTTCTTGCTTGTGTATTTACTTTTCTCATAAACTTACCACTTGTATCATGATACTTGTATCATGTATTATACATTTCTGAAATAAGTACCAAAAGGAGAATCCAAATATAAAATAAAAAAAGGGGGAAGTAATTTAAAAAAAAATAAAGGGTTGATACAGGGAGTGAGAGGGTGCATTTTCCAGCAACCTTAAATATGATATTATGCCTCCCCCTTCAGATATTAATTAAATTGTTTTTGCGTTTCTCCAAAAAATTAGAGGTTCAAAAGTTATATATATATATATATATATTATATATATATATATATATATATATATATATATATATAAATCTGTAGGACATATCAGGTGTAGGGGTCTATAATAAAAATCTTTGTTTTTTCTAAGACTTAATATTTCGCCATTTATTTTATGGCTTGATTGATAATAAATAATAATAAATGAAAATAAATAAAAAAAACTAAAATACTTTGAATTTAATCAAAATTTTCTCCGTTGCGTTTTTTTTTGCATCTGAGTGTATGATATAAATAACAATTATTTTCAGGAAGTAAGTAAAGAACAGTTTATAGAGATAGAACAACAATTGGCAGTAACGAAACAAAGATTTAGAGAAGCGCAGGATGAGTTAGATGAGCTGAGATTGTTGGTAGAAGATCAGCAGAAGCAGCTAGACGATTACAGAAACAAGGTAAGTGCTTAAATTATGCCTTTTTTTCATTAGAAGGTCCGGGTATTACGTGATTGCTTATTGGAGCGTTAAAATCCCCCAATATTATCATCTTACCTCTAAGTTGGTCTACTTTTTGTTCTAATTCGTCATAAAACGTTTCACCTGTTGTTTGAGCTTGTTATTTTCTAGGCCGTATACTCTGATGATGTTCAGATCTTCCTTCTCTATTCTTATCTTTGCTGTACAATCCTTTCTGATATGTATTGACACTCTTTGATGTGATTTTGTTACCTTTGGTATATTAGTAAGACTACACCTTCTATAATAATATTGTATATTCTTATAATATTTATGAGATTGCTTCCATCAAGAGTTCCATATAGTAAAACTCCAGGGTTAGTTTACCCCCTGCTTGGGGTTGATTAACTCGAACTCACTGGATACTCATAATTACTTTATTGGTTCTCTAAGTAAAATGATAGAGAGAGTACCCAGTTGACTGATGAAAACACTAGGTTTTCATCAGTCAACTGTCACGAATGTTTTTTAACCAAGAAACTTGTTTTCTTCCTACATCTCTACAGCCCTCTATTTTTCCCTTAAGGATCAGTTGTAAAATTTTATATCGACTTCCCCTTACTATACAGTATTGTGCGAATTAATGGAATCACTGTGAATTTTTTTTCATTTTTTCAATATTCACAAGAAAATGTTTTGAGGATGTTTTTCATACATGGGGGTTGGATCTTTGGTGCCAATTGAAGGTATGATGAACAGCCAAAAATACAAATCCATGTTGGAAAAGTATTTGGACAAACAACTCCAAAAATGTCAACCCCAAGGAGGAGCGATTCTTCAACAGGACTCTGCTCCCTGTTACAAATCCAAGGAAATGATGGCATTTTTCAAAAATAAGAAGATTAGTGTTTTAGATTGGCCCGGTAGTTCGCCCGACCTCAACTCCATTGAAAATTTATGGGCCATTTGCAAAGCTAGACTGCGAAAAATCGACTGTACCACTAAAACAAAAATGATATATATTTGGTATCGAGATGAAAGGATATCTGACAACTGCCAGAAACTCATAGAATCTATGCCAAAACGGGTAAAAGCAGTAATTGCTGCCAAAGGGGGACATATTTCCTACTGAATGATGTAAGTTTACCTTTATAGTTTTGTCAAAATATAATTTTTTATTAAATAAACTGTTTTTTCATTAAAACAGCCTATGATTTCATTAATTCGCACAATACTATATGTATCAGATAAGACATTTTTCGATGTTTAACAGTCTTTAGCAGTTCTCTGTCTTTGTTGACGCTCTTTAGTATTTTTTCATTAGTTTTTCTTGCTGTCCAAGGTATCTTCAGCATTTGTCTATGAACCCACATTTCCAATGCTTCAATTTTGTTCATGATCGATACTTTTAGCGTCCACACTTCTGCACTATACAAAAGTACAGACATAACACTTAACAATTCTTTGCCTTAGTTCTAAACTGAGATGGTTATTGCAAAGAAATGACTTCATTTTCATAAAAATAGTTTTAGTCATTGCTATTCTACGTTTTATTTCTATGTCTAGATCTAGTTGGTCCGTTATCACAGTTCCCAAATATGTCATTTTGTGAACTTTCTTAATTTGGACTCCGTTCAATTAAAGCTTTGCATCGGGATGTGGGTCACGACTTTTTGATTTTCACAAGCTTTTGATTACATTGCAAATTTCACTAGGTCAGCGCGTGTTCCAGTTACACCGATATTTTTAATGTCATAAGTTAAGCAATGCTCCAAGCTCTAACACAATGTAGAATAGATCACCGATACATATCTCTCATCAGATACATCTATCAACATGCTACAGACTGTGTAAGAAGATACTGGGACTTTTCGTATTGAAAGAGGCGTTCGGCAAGGAGACAACATGTCTCCTAAATTATTTACAACTTTGCTAGAATACGCTTGTAAAACAATAGATTGGAACGAAAAGGGCATCAATGTAGATGGAAAATTTTTAAATAACCTTAAATTTGCAGATGATATCGTTCTTATTGCAGACAGCTTTGATCAGGCACAGATAATGCTCCAAGAACTCCATACTGCCACAAAAAGAGTTGGTCTTAAAATAAATTTTTCAAAAAACACAATTTATGACAAATTTAGTCCACAACAAAAACATCTCAGTAGAAGACAAAGATATTAAGCCAGTTGACTCCTATAAATACTTAGGCCATGAGATCAGAATAAGTCGAGACAACCAAACAATCGAGCTGAAAAGAAGAATAAACCTCGCTTGGGATGCATTTGGAAGGATGAAGGATATTTTTAGGTCTAAGATTCCAATGTGTCTGAAAAGGAAAGTATTTAATCAATGTATTTTGCCAGTGATGACCTACGGCGCAGAAACCCTAACGCTCACAAGAACAACAGTGAGTAAACTACAAGTTGCGGAAAGAGCAATGGAGAGAATTATGTTAGGGATTTCTCTACGTGATAGAATACCCAATGCTACTATACGCAAAAGATCAGGAGTAGCAGACGTTATTGAAAAGATAACAACACTAAAGTGGAACTGGGCAGGTCATGTAGCAAGATCAGTTGATGACCGGTGGACAAAAAGAATTTTGGAATGGAGACCCCGAATACAAGCATACAGAAATAGAGGTCGACCCCAACGAGATGGACAGATGACATAAAAAGAGTGAGTACAAATTGGATTCAGATGGCGCAAAATCGGACTAAGTGGAAGAACATGCGAGAGGCCTATGTTCAGCAGTGGACGTTAGAGGCTAGTTGATGAAGTTAAGCAATTATTAATGTTATTAAAAGGATTTCAAATTTTTAAACTGAATTAAGTTACTTAGATCTGATTCTTAATTAAATCCCGTTTGGCAATGTTTTCTTTTGCTACTCCACTGTACTTACCTAATTGTCCTTTTCCTTTTTTTGTTTCCTGTAGAGCGCAAATTTGTTTTCTATTTTCTATTTCTATTTGTCTGAAATCTATTTGTTTCGCTTTCAGCACTTGGGTGGTTTCTTGGTTCCTTGAGTTGAGCAATCTCATACGTCATGCAGTAATTCTCATCTGAGTTTTGGATATTTTTTGTCAATATTGCTATTAGATATTTACTTAATTACCGATTGGTAAATTGATACGTTTTTTAGGTTTACTCTCAAATAATAATTGAAATTTAGCAGATAATTTCTTAACTTTAACTAAACCTATTTTCAGTACTTAGAAGCTCAACAGCAAGTAGAAGAACAGAGGAGGCAGATAGACCTAATGGAAATAGAAAATCAAAGAATCAGTGAACAAGTTAATCTGGAAATCCACCGGGTGAAAATACAGTTTTCAGAAAAAGTCCAAGAATTAATGCCTTTACCTGACATTTTAAAAGCAACCCAAATCAAACTGCAAGAAGCTCAACAGATGCACCTTTTAGCAGAACGAAATAATGAAGCGATAGCTAGAGAATTGAAGTTATATAAGGACAAAATTGCAGCCATGACGTCAGAAATAGACGACGTTAAGAGCGATCAACAAATGGGCCAAGATGCTAAATCGATATTGGAAGCTAGAGTGAAAGAGCTGGAGGAGCAGTTGGCGGAGTTACAGCAAGTTAATGCGTCTTTGGTTAATGATTTAGAAAAATTTGCGGAGAAATGTGACGAATATGAAAAACTGGCCGATGAACGTTTGCATGAAATTATACAACTGGAGTCACAGGTTCAGTCTCTAAGAGAAGAAACTGCAAGGCAGGTGTCGAGGATAAAAGATCGATGCGAGATTGTTAGAAGGTAAGACAATTTGATTTTTGATCTATATTTTTTTTGTAGATCTATTATTTTCTTTCTTTAATTGGTTTTTCTGTCCACATATAGACATAAGTCTTCTCCACCTATTTCTGTTTTGTAAGGGCATATCCGGATTGATGACATTTTACTTGAGTTACAACTGAATATAAAAAGATCAAGATAATATGGTAGCCATTTTGAACTAATAGTCAAATTTAGACTATGAGGTTTATAGAAAAGACCATAACATAAGCCAAAACGCAGTAATACTAATAAAAAAAGGCATTGAATATTAACTTAGCCGTACTCCAGGATGTTTGAACTTCTTAACACCGAAGTCTACTTCGTCGATTGTTTACCAAATGAGGTATTATAGTCGGTTCGCTATATTTACGCGAGTTTCGGATTAACAAAATTAAGCTAATGACTCATTGATAACCAGTTGCAGTAAACGACTTCCCAGAAAATTAGGTACAAACTGCATTAATGGTCATATTTTAAAATACATTAAAATAACATTAGGGTAGGTATAAATTTGTTACAATATTGCAGTTGAATTGATTCTTTGCCAGTGTTGACATTGTATGTTTGGTGGAAATATTTAAAAGTGCCTAGACGTGTGTTAGATGTAGATAGTCTACTTTGTAGTGCACATAAGTATTTTACGGATGAAAAAGAAAATGGCGGTCCTTTAAAATCGGTAATATCTGTTCAACAACGCGTATGTGATGCTTTAGGAATTAGTGAAACCAAACTAAGAGGAGTATTACAAAATCGCAATAATTTACGGCCGAAAGATCACCGAAAAACTCTCCTATCATTGAAAACGAAAGATATTCCAGATGGAAAAAAAAAATTTGAAATTCGTGATACCATTTATCGAATACGAGCCAACAAAGAACATGTGACCTTAAATACAATTCTCTCGGAATTAAAAAATAGAAAATTTGACGAAATTGGCTGAACAAGTCTATAGCAAGTGATACATAATTTGGGTTTCAAATTTTAAAAGGAGGATAACAGAAAAGCCCTTTGTGAAAAAAGTTCTGTTGTGCATAAAAGAATTAACTTTCTAAGAAAATATTCTAAATTAAAAGAAGAAAGGGCAAATTTTTTATATTTAGACGAAACATGGATATTTTCTAGGGGGGCAACCAAGAGAATATGGCAAGATGATAACGTAAAGTCTATCAAACATACTGATTAAGAAAGGAAGGGCCACATAATTTTACATGCAGAAGGGAAATCGGGTTTTATAGAAGGTGCTGATTTAATATTTTCATCAAAATCAAGTGACTATCATGATAATATGAACACAGAAATGTTTGTAAAATGGTTACATGAAAAACTTCTCTCAGGTTTAGGTGAGCCCAGCGTAATTATTTTAGACAATGCACCTTACCATTCTAAAGTATTAAACAAAAGTCCAACGAATTCTTGGACTGTTCATAAAATTAAAGAATGGTTGACAAAGGAACATATACCATTTACACAACATATTTTAAAATCAGAATTTTTACGCTTGGCAAATATCCACGCAAAACCAAAAACCTTTGTTGTGGATCAGATTATTGAAAGTTACGGTCATCAAGTTTTACGTCTGCCACCGTATCACTGCCAGTTTAATCCCATCGAATATATATGGGGAATAGCAAAACAATATTATGACAACCATATTGGACCTAACGGTTATAGCGACGACGCAGTTCGGGAAACTTGGCGAAAGGCACTTTCAATTGTAACTCCAGAAGTGTGGTGCAACTGTATATTCAAGTGCGAGAAACTAATAGAAGATTGGTGGACTCGTGAAAATAAAATAAACGAAATAAGTCCAATAATAATAACAATTAATGGTGATGACAGTGATGATGATGACGATTATGATATTTTTGATGATAATGACTGATGTTCATTTTTGTTGGCAAGTTAAATTTTTGTATTATAATATACATAGACCATATTTTCTGTGTGAAGTGTAATATAAAATTATTATTAGGTTTATATTAGCCACATTAGACTCCATTAATGAAGTAATTCTCCTTATTATACTATCAATTATATAAAAGATTTTCCATTATTATTTAATTAAAAAAAGTTATGGATTATTTTCATTTCATTTGACCAGTTGATATTTCCCCAAAGAGCAGGTAAGTAAAACTGGGTACTTACAATAAAATTTTTAATCCGAAACCCGCGTAAATATAGCGAACCGACTATACGCAGTAATGATCTCAATAGTGTGTGTTAGACCACAGGATCTATTTCTCGAAAATATCTAGAGATTATAGCTATTGTCATAGCGTTCGAAATCTTATTATTTGGCGAGGTAGATTATTTCTCTACGTCATTTATAGCTTGCTGTTGCTGTCCTGGCTATTTTCCATTTCTTTCACTGAACTGAATTTTCCAGCCTTTAACATTCATTGTTTTTATATCATCTTCTACATCATCCAGCCATTTCTTCTAGGCCTTTTCATATACCTAGGTAATAGTGGTGTCCTATCCATTCTAAGCGAAGAGATTTTATGTATCTGTTTTGTTAAATTTACCAACATATTTGGTATTCGTAGCTCTTTCATTGCTTTGAACAGTTCTCTTTTATTCACAGAATTGTAGACTGCTTTGTAGTCTATAAATATGTAATAAGTATTAAAACCATATTTCACTGTTTTTTCCAAAATTTGTTTCAGGGTTGCAATCTGATGAATTGTCGATTTACCACCTCTGAAACCAGCCTGGAATTTTTCTAGTATGCGTTCTGCATATGGTGCCATACGATGACATAGTAATTCCTGTGTAGTTAGAGCATTAAAAGATATCTCCTTTTTTTGTGTGTGTGGTGCAAAGTATAACAATATTCCAATCATTCTGTGTCCATATTTGTTTTATAAGCTGCTGTAATTATGCTGGTATCATGGCCGCCTTCTTTACATGGTACAGCGGGAGATTATCTATTACTCCAATTCCAAAATCTCCAATTAACACTCTTAATTCTTTAGGTCTATTCCAAGTATGGTTGTTTATTTATTTATAGCAATTTAATGAAATTTACTGGCACAGGACCGACACACATGGAAGGCAATAGTAAACGCGGCAATGAATCACGAAGAGTTGTAGCGCCATTGATGATGATGATGAATTTAATGAAAGATGGAAAAATAGGATTTCCAATCATTTTAAACATTACAAGTTCTTAGGAAGGGTGATTTGATCAGCATCTTTGGTTTATGCTGGCTATTGCCTGCTTTAGAGTATTAAAGCATTTATCAGGAAATATGTTGCCTACTAAGGTTAAAAGCTTAGCTGAAAGGAATGAAACTTTTTTTTGAGAATTCCGGTGAGTAACTGTACTCTGCGATGGCATGGTATCTTAAGAATCTCTTTTACTCGGATATTAGAACTTTAGATAAGTTTTAGGACGTATTTTTTACTAAGGGTGTTGCTTTATATTCGATTATAGGCCTGGTAAAGGTTTTCTATGTATGTAGCAGAGTACGATGGTGGGTATTTTCGAATTTTTTGCATAATGCTTTCAGAATGAGTAAAATTCAAGATGTAGGCTTGATTTATATACCACATTCTTCTTCCTTTCTTATGGCATCAGCCAATGCATATGAGCATCTAAATGGTAGATGTACAGGTGACGAAGCCAGCACAGGTGATTGTATGTTTTTAAGATATTGAGTAGGTAGGACATTGAATACTTTAGAATAGATCTAACAGTTTTGCATGATTATTGCGGGTGTTCGACAGATATACGTGATGAATACAGGTGGTGAAGCAGGTATGCGCTTCCAATGTAATTTGTATAATAACCATACCACCAAGTGCATCATACTGTCTTCGATATACGACTCAAATGCTATTGACTGTTTCAGTTATTTCTTACTTACTTACTCCTAAGCCTTTCTACCGTTAGGTGTAAGGCTGGTGGAGTTAAGTTTTGCACTGTTATCTCAATGCTTTTCGGTCTTGTGTTAGATGTCGTGCATTTTCCCATGTCAATATCCTTTCTTCTCAACTTCTTTTCTGATTTCGTCTACCCACTTAACTTTTGGTCTTCTTCGATGAGTTAGCTCTTTGAAATGTTCTCTCCATCTTTCCATTATTTGGTTTTCTTCTGTTATTACCTTTCCATTCTTGTCTTTTATATTCGGCATCATGTGTTTTTCCTTTTGTCTGAGCTGTTTTAATGCGCCATAAAAAAGTTTTTGATTTTTCCTATAATTATTTGTCATTTTAGTCCAAACTTTTCCCATGACCTTTCTTTTTCTACTTTCACAGCTATTTTAACCTCTTTTCTTTTTTCTTTATATGCCTCGTAGTCTTCAGGGCGCTTTGTACTTAGATATCTCTTCCATTTTTTTGTTTTGTTCTTTATTTTCCTTCGTATTTCGTCTGTCCACCATTTAGTTGTCCTCCTGCTAGTATTTGCGATTTTTGTCTTCCCGCAAGTTTCCTCAGCAGCTATGATTAAATTGGTTTTGAGATTTTCCCACTTTTCTTCGATACATGCAGTTTTTGCCTTACCTTTCAAAATATTGTCCAATTTTTCTTAGAATATCTTCTTATATCTTTCTTCTTTTAATTTGTAGCTTTTTACTTTTTCTTTTACTACCTTTCTCATCTTTTTTTTGAAAAATCAATCTATGATTGATTTTTCATTTCTGCTTTCTTGTACTCTCGTGTATTTGTGTACTTTTTTATGTTTAAATTTTGTATTTGTTATAACAAGTTTATTTTCCATACATATTTCTATTATTCTTTCACCATTTTTGTTTAGTATTTCTTCTCCTTCTTTTCCCATGCATTCCTCAATTCTATTGTTATTATTTCCGACTCTACCGTTTAGATTTCCCATTACAATTATATTTTCTTCCCCGTTGTCAATTTACATTTGGAGCTCCTCGAAAAATTTATCATTCTTTGCCTTTTTTGCATCTTCATTTACTCCGTAGGCTGTTATTATTGTCCATATTTCTTCGTATATCAGTTTCATTTTCAGCGATAATATTCTCTGATTAACATATGTTTCTTCTATAACGTATTGTAGTCTATTCAGTGCAATTATTATCCCTACACCTTCTTTTGCTCTCTCCTTTGCATCAGCTCCTACCCAAAATAACCAATATCCTTTGTGTATCTTCTTAAAACCTTTTCCTTTCATTTTCGTTTCCGTTATTCCTAATATTTCTATTTTTTGTCTCATCATTTCTTCTACAAGTTCTACCTCTTTTTCTAATTAATAATAATTTTTTCGAGTAATAATTATAATAATAATTTTCGAGTCCTTTCTGTATTTCCCTATTTTGGTTTTTATCTAGTACTGTGATTTTAACCTTTAAAGTTTGTTCTCTATAATTTTAGATCAATGCAAAAGCAAATCGGTGACTTAGAGCGACAACTAGCTCAAAGCAGAGCCCAAGCCAAAGCAGCTCAAAGCGACAGAGACGAAATCAGGCAAAAGATGCAGTCTCAAATCAACAATCTGAACGAAAATTTCGAAGACGCTCAAATGAGAATTCGGAACCTACAGGGTCACGTCAATTTCCTTAAAAATTCGTACGGAGATACTTTCGGTGTCGGTGAAAAAAGTAATAGGTACAGAACTACCGATAATAAGGATCCTTGTGATTGCAATCCCATTTATTAACAAAATATTTGTTGTGTTTTATTCATTTTATAAAAAAATATTTAATATACCACAATAATACCTTTTTATACAAGTTTATAATGGTAATTTTCATTTTCTATATTTATTTTTATGACAGTTGAAAATATTTAACAAAAACATCACAACAAAAGGATGAAGGAAACTGTGGATACAGAAGAAAAATAACTGAAACATAATAACATAAAATAATTTATTTTAATAAAATTATTCTTATAAAAATCTAACTATTCACATACAATTTACAGTAAACAATATTTTAACAAGTTAGAGATGATTTGAGCCACTGAAAAAGAAAACAATGTCTTAGTAATTGTTTAAATTTATGGCAATCTTAACTTACTTCTGCCAGGTTTAGTTTTATGCTGCCATTTTGAAGGGGATCTTTTGATTCAAAAATGTCTAAAAGAGAAAAAAACATGTTCATTAAAAATTAAAATATTTTATCGTAAACTAAGATTATGCAGTAGATACATTATTTAATAGATGCAAGTTTCATCTATCTCAGAAGATAACATTTCGGAGTAATTCCTAACTTTTTTGTGTATGCATCAATTAAATTAAAGAAGTCAAAGTGAAATCTTATCTCCAATAAAGTAAAAAGAAAGAAAGAAAAAATAAAGAATTTAGAATGAAAACAAGATAAAAACAAAGAAAGAACAAAGAAAAAAGACAAAACAAAAAAGAAAACAAATAATTAACGCAATCAATCTGCAACATATAAAACATATAAACGCGATCTGGGAAAAAATCAAAAACAACATTGAAGAAGCATTAACAGAAACTCTAGCAAAAAGCAAAGTCATACTAAAAAAAAGACACAACAATATACCATGGTTCTGAAAAGAAATAAAAGAGAAATGTATAGAAAAACAAGTGACCTACACGAAGTATAACATCAAATACTCCAGAATCCCGAGACACATATAGAAAAATACGAAATGAAACAAATCAGTTGGTAAAAAGAACAAAAAATTAACACTGGCAACAGTTTACAAAAAGGATGGAAAGCGACTTCTGTGATACACAAAAACAAATATGGAGATTCATAAGAAACCAACAGAAAGAACTGGCAGATTTGAAGGAATACAATAATATACCAGCAAACGAATGCGAAGATATCTGATAGAACTGTTTAAAAAGGAAAATATAAATCAACACAATAACGTACCTGAATTAAGAACGAAACTACGAACTAGAAATCAGTTTTCAGGAAGTAGGGCTAGCTTAAATTCACTCAAAAATAAAGTCACTAGGACCAAACGGAATAGCCAACGAATATCGGATAGCACGAGATAAGTCACCAAATCGACGAAAAAGTATTGGCCGATCAAGAAAAAGATGGTGCTTTAATTTAAACAATTTGAGATTCTAATATTGAAGAAGAAACAAGCTTTAAATCTTACATACAAAAAGGAAGAAGAGGAAAAAACAAAATCTGCAATATGTTATGTTTATCTATTCTAGCAAAGTCAAAAGAAGAGGTGAAGATCAGGTCAAACTAAAATCAGGAAACATATTCCAGTATAAAGGGGAAACGGAATCGACAACTGGAGGAATAGGTTTATTAGTACACAAAAAATTACAGAAAAATATACAGAGCATTGACTGCATTTCCCCAAGAGTTATGTATATAAATCTAAGACTAAATAAGTCTTAGATTTATATACATAAATCGGAGAATCATAACAAGAATACATAACAAGAAGTGGCAATCGGAGATTTTGCAATCGGATTAAGAAACGAAAGAGGCGAAATGCTTACCAACTTTCTACTGCAACACAAACTGTATGCAATGAACACTTTTTTTAAGAAGAAACAGAATAGAAAATGGACGTGGGCTAGTTTAGACGGAAGAACTAAGAGCGAATATGATTATATTATAACAGATAAAAAGCAAATTATTCAAGATGTCACTCAATAAACTATCAGTAGGAAGCGACCACAGACCACTAAGAGCTAGAGTAACGATAAATCTACAAAAAGAAAGAGCAAAGATGATAAACAGTTGCAAACGCATAGTTTGAAATTCACCAAATCATCCAGAAGCATACATAAAAAATATAGCCGAAATTTTACAGAGTAATAATCCCAAACCTCTAAGTAGCTCTAACTCAAATTTTGCAAAAAAAATGACACCAAAAGTGAAAAGATTAGCAAAAATACAAAAGCTCTCATGGAAATACGACGAAACCTAAGCGAGAACGAAAAGGGAAACAAAGAAAAATATAAAAAACTAAATTAAAGAATTTCAGCGAAAATTAGAAAAGATGTAAGAAGATATAATACTAATGTAATTACTCAAACAGTAGAAGAGAACAAAGGTTTAAAGATAATGAAAAGAAAACTCACACAAAGTAAAAAAGAAATATACAAGCTGAGAGATAAAGACGGAAAGGCAACAACAGATAAACAAAACATTCTGAAAATAATCAGAGAGTTTTTTAAAGACCTCTATACCAGCCAAAGACCACAAGACAATTTCCCGACACGACCAAAGACTCTCATAAATCAGGGATCGGAAATACTTTTAACTATGTCAGAAGTAAAAGCAGCTTTAAAGGAAATGAAGATCCATCGATCGCCTGGCGATGATGGACTCGTTATCGAGGCAATAATAGCAGGAGGATAAATTTTATTAAAATCAGTAAGCGAACTGTTTAATAAATGCTTACATGCGCGTACGATTCTAAAAGACTGGAACAATGCAGTAATAGTCTTGTTACACAAAAAAGGTGATATTACTAAATTAGAAAATTATAGACCCATCAGCCTCTTGACACATATGTACAAACTCTTTATGAAAATCTTAACAAAGAGGCTAACACCTAAACTTGATTTCTATCAGCCCAAAGAACAGGCAGGCTTCAGGGCAGGATATGGCACAAATGACCATTTGCATACCATAAAGATCTTAATAGAAAAGTGCATCGAGTACAACAGAAGAGATACATAAAGAACAAATATACTTACTGAATGAGACTGTCAAATGCAATATCGCAGAAACAAAGTCTCCGAACCTCAACGTACCATCTTTTCTCATGTACCTCAAAATTAGCGTTGCTAATACCTCACTGCTAAGTTGAAAACCAACTTCCTGCAAAGCGTCCCGTAACCTTTCAGCTTTTAAAATTCCAGTTTTTTCTTTAGTGTGGTTTTTGAATGCTGTCTGCCAGAACTTTAGGCTGCACATAAGGTCTTTAAAATCGCTAAATTTCAGTCTACCTGTTCCAGACATCTATAAAGTTAAAAATAGATTAGTAATATATTACAAAAAGTAACAAAATATAATAAAATGTAACAAAAAGTAACGAAAACTAACAAATGGTAACAAAAAAAGTAACAAAATGTAACAAAAAGTAACAAAAAGTAACAAAAAGTAACAAAAAGTAATAAAAAGTAATAAACAGTAACAAAAAGTAACAAAAAGTAAGAAAAACTTAACAAAAAACAACAAATATTTAAAAAGGTAAAAAAATATTGATATTCTCTATTTTCAGCTTGATTTAGTGTTCTAGTTATTTCAGTATTAATATATTCGAACTACTTATTTTATTATACTTACTTTATAGATATCTGTTGCAGACATCTACAAAGTTAAAAATAGTAATAAGATGTGACAAAAGGTAGCAAAATGTAACAAAAAAAAATATAACAAAAAGTAACAAAAAAATATCGAAACTTAACAAAAATTAGCAACAAGTAAGTGCCATTAGTATTTTTTATGTTCAGCATGATTTACTCTTCCAATTTTTATGTATACAGATATTTAACACATTGCCTGGCACACGCCTTTCTCAAAAAGTTTCATGGGGCGCCACACCAAAAAAATTGTTCAATTCCTGGAGGCTATGTCAGACAGATATGACCGACGGAAATTTTTACGGTGAGGCCATGTCGGTCATATATGACTGACAGGATAGCTTTCGAACGCCCTTCTATAACTCAAAATTACGTGAGGGTATATGGATTTTTATATACAATTTTGTTGTTGTGGCGTCCAGTAATACTTCATTAAAACATTGGTGGCGCACCAAGAAAAAATAATGAAAAATTAAAAGAAAAAAATAGTTTTTATTTTTGCCATACAAAAGTGAAACAAAAACAGGAAAATATAAATGTATTACATATGAATATTTTTAAAGCACTCCATGCACATATACGGTTGATCAGGACAACCACAGCAATGTCATTACTTTTTTCACTTTCTTTCTGGCTTCCGATCTTCCTAGAGAACCAATCAAATGTCTGTAACAAGGCTTGCAAATACGACGAATTTTTTTGTCTTTGGTCAATGCATGTCCTGTTTTTTTATAGGTTCTTCTCTTGGTTCTATGTCTAACATTTGCTGAACCAGTTGTTCTCTGAACTTTCGTATTTGCATCTTCTTTTTCTTTGAAACCATTTTCATAAACCAGGTAAGCATTGACAACACTAATGCCGAGAAGATATTCCATGGCCAGCTTCCTGAACCACTTTACCCCTTTTCTTAAAGTTGTCGCGTAAGAAGACATTTGGTCAGATATGTCTATGCCAGATTTTCCTCGATTATAAGCTACTACCATACTTGGTTTTATTTTAGTTTCCTTTCTCTTCTTTTTCTTAAGTTGTTTACTAGTTGATGGTGTCGATGTAGTTGTGTTCTCTTTATTTTGTGAGGTATCGATCAAGTCAGGAGCATGTTTGGTAGACAGTAATTTTACGTCACGAGTGTCTCGCTACTTATTTTACAGAATTACTATTCCATTTTCGTCTTCTCTACTTACAGATTCACCTTTCTTCAGCTTTTTCATCATAACTTGTTTTGGAAAATGTTTTCTTAAGGTCCTAACAGGGACCTTTTTGATTTAAGCATAGATTAGAGGAGGGATAGATAACTAACTTCTGTACAAAAAAATGTTGTGATCATCAGCGCCACGTTGGAGTGTTCTGGTACTAATCAATATTTTTATCATGTTGGAGAGCTTGCTAATTGACAAACGCCTTGTGTAGTTGGTAATATTGTAAAGTTGGTAATATTGAGACAACTCTAATCCTGTTTATATATTGGAATAAATGTGACAAATTAGTTCTGAAAGTTTTCAGAGACATTAAATTAGACCAATAATTTTCATTTAATCAAACTCAAAACATGTAGTAATTAATACATAATTAAATTAATATGCTATGAGAGTAGGAATCATAGAAGCCTGTACTAACTTCTAACTTAACTTAAAAAAAAAAAACAAATATCCTTATACCACGCCTTAACTAAACAATTAATATTCTAATCCTAAATACGATATTCCTTGATCTAACAGCACTTTTAACTAAAACACAAAAAACAAATATTGAATTAATACTTAATCATCAACATCAATTAATATTCGACATTCGAGAATTATGACAATAACATTCGACAGACGCCAGTTATGAAGACATCGCTATTTTAGCACAAAACATTAATAATGTTTTGTGATCTACAGAATCAACCGATAATAGCGCTTGGTGGTGTGTTCTGTAACTAATTCAATGATTACATTTTACGGATTGAAGTTGAACCCCCCTGGATTTAAGAGGGATAAAGCTAAGGGGTAACTAGTGTAGAAGTTATCAACAAACAACGTACGACCTTGATTTAGAAGGACCTGCGACAATTTTAGACACACATGATGACCCAAACTTAAATTTGTGTCAAATGTGTCTGCTTTGCCTTCATAAATGCTCGTAGTCCAGGTATATCCATTTTTTGCACACAGTTTGAATACTTTTATCCCATATCACTTTATATTAAAGCAGCTTCTAATTGTTGCTCTGTCAAATACTTTTGATATTTTCGCTTGGACATTGTATTTTTTCAACAAAGCCAAATTGTAAATTAAGATAAAAAATACCTATTATTTTCACAACAATTAACCTTTAAATCGTCACGTGAATGCTAATGACATGGCCTCTACCAAAATAAGTTTCCGGGCAGGCCACGTCAGTCACAATTGGGTGACGATTTTAAATAAACAAAACTAATGTTTTTTACCATGCAATAATTTTTTGCTGAAAACATGATAATCTAGACATAAAAACCTTTCCCTATATCTTCTTTTTTTGCTGTGGCCTCCCACGAACTCTATTAGAAAATGCCTGTGGCCCCCAGTGAAACAACGCTGTCACTCATATATGACCGACATGGCCTACAGCAAAAAAATTCTGTCAGTCAAATTTGGGTTATGTGGCAGGCATTGTGTTAAATAACTATTTTACTATACGCATGTTGTAAATATATATTCCAGACATCTAACAAGTTTAAAAACAGTAATAAAACGTTCATAAAGTGTAACGAGGTGCAGCTTTTGTAGAACAGCTTTTCCGCAAAAAATCTAAACTGTAGCAAAAAATGTGTTCTAGTTCTTTTAGTATGAAGATAATTTAAAATATTATTATTATATTTACAAATGAAAGCCAATGAGACTAGTGAAATGTGACAAAAAATAATAAAAATTATAAAACTGAGAAAATATTGGTATTATTTATTTTTACCCTTAATTTAATTTTCTAGAGAGCTTTTACCCCAAAAATATTTTATTTAACTTACTTCAAATGCCAAAATAATCTGCCTACAAACTTCAATAGAAGCACAACTCTTGATGTAGTCATTAGGCAAACATGCATCCAACAATTCCTGCAGCTCAAACGCATTAACTGTTCTGTGTTCGTCTGCAAGTTGTAGGAAAACGGCTTCGTATTGACTAAAACTTTTGCCGTCTAAAAGAGGAGGGGCAGACACGACCGCTGATTTGAGAAGTTGGGGTACAGTGTCTAAGAGTTTTAACTTTAGGGGCTTGCAGGAGTAGACTCGAAGAGTAAATCCAGATTCTTGACTAGGTTCAAATGTTGTTGGGATGATTAGGTATCCGCCTTGTTCTAATTGGCACCTAAAACAGAGAAAATTTCAATCTAGACAATACTGAGTAGTTTTTTAATGGTAAAGTAATTAAAAAACAGTTAAATATTTCTTTTCTAAACTTTATTTCAATTTTGCTAATAAATAGGCATTCCATGTAGATAATAATAAAAACTGTTACCTGTGACTGACTTGTCTGCTGTTGGTATACTGCGAATTAAACAAAGACTTATTCTTCTTAAAAAATCCCTTCCCAATTGTTTCGTTGGTGTTTTTAGAAAGTAAATAAGACGTGAATCCTATAACTTTGGGTTCCATGATGCTGTGTTGATTCAAAGACACAATAACCTCTTCCATCTCACTCAGCAGGAGGTGAAGTTGAGGATTAATATGAAACGTGTCAGGGTTGTTGCGGCAACCTACAACAAATTTTATATTTTGGTAATTTTTTGAGCTAGTATACTAATCTTGAGTAAATTTGTCAATTATGCGATCAAAAATAACTAAAAACCAAAAATAAAACATACTATCCATCCTACCTCCAGCTGAAACTCCTTTTTGCCAGTTTCCTTGAAAAAGCCTCATCTGCCACGTATTTTTACTATGCAAACTGGGCTCGTCTCTGCTTGTGTCATTGTCCAAATGTACTACTTCTAAGTGAGAGAAAGTTTTAATGAATTGAGAAAATGGCATCCAGAATTCTCCCTCTTGGAGTTTGCTTTCTATCCTGTCGAGTTCTTGGGGTGAGATATCTGACCTAAACGATAAAAGATCTGTATTGTATGTAGCTTCACTGCTTTATTTAACTTCTAACTTAGCTTTAGCACACAATAAAATTTGTATTAGAAAAAAACTTATATTTACCATTCAGGAGAATCTATAAAAACAGGTGATGTATACTCAGGCGACTGACCCAAAGGATTTTTCACCTTCAGCAGCTGAATTCCCTCTCCATTAAAGGTCTCCGTCCTCTCTATAGAATATATCCTATAATTTATTCCTATTTGTACTCCATTTTGTAACTTTTCAGAAGCCTGAGACCTGACCTGATTTGCAGCTTGAATTGTACATGTCACGATGGAGGTCATGTCCAGCAGTTTGTATAGCAACCTCGCGCACGAATTGGTGTCTTGTCGAAGAGGAATGTTTTCGGTTATTCCCCCGGTGAGGTCTGCTAGACCGTCCAATAGGGATCCGTATTTAAGAGCTTCATAGGAGCCATGTAATCTGAAAAAATTAATAATAATATTATGAAATATATAATGTGAACAGATGTAAGGGTTTCTTCGACAGCATCGTAGAAATTAACTGAAATCGTAGATGATGCTTTTTAAATATCCAAAAAAAAAGTAAATCCATGGGTGTAAGATCTGGAGATTGCGCAGGCCACTTAATATATCCTGTTTCACTGATAACTCGATTCAAGAAAGTATTGTTTAATTGCTCCCTAATTATTTGAGCTTGTGAACTGAACATACGTCTTAATGGAACCAAACGAAGGGAGAAGAACCACTTCTCAACATAAAGATTAAGAATAGCGGGAAAAATATGATTCTGTAATAAATCGAGGTATATTCTACTATTCAAGTTGCCCCCAACAAAAAATGGATATATTATGTGATCTCCTAAAATGCCAGTCGAGATGTTAACTTTTTGAGGAGTTGAGTTCGGTAAACAACACTTCTGTGCTGGTTTTACCGCCACCAATACCTTGTAATGGAAGGATTCTATCTTCCTACTAACGAAACAGAAGATTCAATCAATTAATAAAATGATTATATTTTAAATATATTTAAAAGCGTTAATAAAGGAAGGGGATACATAATGGGAAACAAAGAAATAAAAATACTATGTAACGCAGACGATGAAATATTGATAGCCCAAGATGAAGATAGTCTGCAAAGACTGGTTCAGAGATTTAACATAAGAGTCTCTCATGCTCAGTCTTTCAGTCTAGTTATGGAGACCTGGACAAAGAAGTGAGAGATCAAGTACAAAAAGCAAATAGACTGGCAGGATGCCTTAATAACACTATATGGTGAAATGATGGAGTGACAACCTTCCATGACAACATATATAGTACTCACTTTGCATAAGCTTTTTCTAACAGCCCAGGCCAAAAATTGTCGGTCTGTGACTGCAGGAAAGCGAGCTTTCCGTGAACGGTTGGCAATCTATCATCGACTAGAACTTCAGTCCATTCTCCGCACCACCAGAGGCGAAATCTGAACACCCCGCAGTATTGTTCGCCAAAAAACGATTGATCGGCAGGTACTACTCGGTAAAATAAGCCTTTGTTGAGGTAGAGGATGCCCAGGCACGATACCAGCCACCTGTCTCCTAAAAGAAAAGTACTAATTTAGATTTTTATTAAAGCAAATAACAAAATAAAGTTTAATGTAATACACCGAAAGGCAAAAATTTGGCCACCCAAAAATAAAAATTCATTGAAAGTTTTATGCAGTTTCATTCCGGTCGTAGAAGTGTTACCTCGCAAAGAGATAATCGTTTTATTGTGATGGAACTTTTAAGAAATCGCCATTCCACTGCAATTGCTGAAGAAATTGTCTGTTGAGAGAATGGTTAGAAAATGCCTTAATGAAAAAGGACTAGTGGCAAGAAGGCAGCCTATTGTTCCCGAATTACAACCTAGACACTCTAGGAACCGATTCATTTTTTCTCGACAACATCAACACTGGGATATACAGGCTTGGAGAGAATTCTTTTTACTGATGAATCGTTTTTCTGTTTGAAATCTGGCAATGGCCGAGAGAGAGTTTGGAGGCGGAGAAATGAAAGATATACTCAAGCTTATATATCCCAGAGAAGAAAGTTTGGTGGTGATGGTGTCATGGTCTGGGCTGAAATCTCACTTGAAGCTCGAACTGAACTTATTTTCATCAATGGCTCTCTGAAAGTTGGAATTAAGACTCTAGAACGGCCAGCTTGCACCCCCGATCTAAATATCATCGGACATCTTTGGGATGAACTTCATCGTAGGGTTATAAGTCAACCAGGTGAGCCAAAAAGTCTTGCAGAACATATTTTTTTCCTTTTTTCTTTCCAATGTTTTCATTTTTCTTCCAAATCGTATGCAAATGGTTATTGCTGCTTGTTAAAGTTCACTCGTAATTTTTATTGTTTCTAATTCGTTTCGATATTACACTATTTTGTTATCTAGTCTTCTAATTAAATAAATTATGCTAAAAAATCAAACAGTAATGGCCATTTTTTGTTTTAAAAATAAAAGATGTTGAGAATACACTATGAAACAGTGTATAAAACTTCCAATGAATTTTTATTTTTGGAAATTTATAGGGCGGCTACTTTTTTTGCCAGTCACTGTATGATTATTCTAGTTCTATGACCGCTATCGATTGAATATTATGTTGACTACCATATTAGCAATCATAGTTTTATTGACAGCAGTTATAAATTGTTATATTGACTCTTTTTAAATGAATATAAAATTTTTCTATATCTTCTTTTTCAAAGTTTTGTGCGGGTGCAAACAACTTGCAATATCTTTACGTTTATTGTTGTTATTTGTAGTTAAATCAATAATATCTTGTCTGAAAATAGGACTATGTATTTTATAGCTTTTTCCGTATCCTTAATGATAATTATTAATGCTTCATTTCTGTGCTTTGGATTGTCTTCTAAGCATTTTCATCTCATTTAACTTATCTGTATATATATATCTAGTGGCTTAATTTTTTTAATGGCGTTTTGAATCGCAGCAGAAAAAGCAGCGATAAAAAAATACTTAAGAGTAATATGTAAAGTAATAATAAAAATATATTTACCCATTTTTCCTGGACTAATATCAAAAGAAGCAGGAGCATCTTGAATAAAATTTGGTCTGTTACACAATTCCTGAAAAAAAGTGCATAATATACTAATATGTATTAAATTTATTTATATATTAAGAACTCGACACCAAGATGAGTACATTAATTAGTTAAGAGTAATAATATTACGTCCTTTTTTTCTATATTCATGTAATAAAGTTTATAGTAGAGTTTGTACTTTGACTAGACGTTTATAATAATTCGTGACTCCCTAGGAGTATTATATATAAGAATTATTCAGGCTTTTTAGGTTTATAGCATAACAATATATTCCTTTCGACCTTTGGCATTCACTCACTCGCTAGTTCTAAATATGTTTTTGTTTTAGATTCTTGTTCACCCCATTGATCTATATTTTTGTAGGACTTTCTACTCTTCTATTACTTGCTTTGTTTGCAAAGCAAACTTTGTTTGTCACAATTTCTTTGATACTCATTTGTTACGATCCTAACATATTTATTTATCAAAAAAGCTTAATACGGTTATGCAATATATATTTACTTTATCAGAAAAAAATCAGTTATTTTACATGTTTTAAATGTAAATTTTTATTATCTTATCAATCAGACCCCCTCATATATTCTAAGAAATCTTATGTACATAATATCTGAGGCACCAACCCGAAGAGCTATTAAAATCAGATGAGGCCTTCGTTTATGGTCATACAAAACAATTTGAATAGAACGTTTCTATACATCTATATTTATATTGTTCTATTCTCAATTAAAGGGTTTTTTAATAGCTGGTCGCTTGAATTTACAAGACAAGAAATCTAAAAAAGAAAGTAGTCATAGCTACTTGGGCTATTGCAGGTTTCTCATATAAATCCATTAACTTGGATGGAAGTTATAATCATTCTAAGTTGTTCTAACTCTTTCGAATTTTATTTAATTTCCAGCTTTTTCCATCACTAATGGGATTTTTTGTTTCTATTCATTGTTTGTTGTGTTCTCTTTACTCTCTGCTTATTTGTTTTGTGCTTCGCCATTTATTCATTTCTCCATTAATTTCTGCATCATTCTAATGTCTCTTTCTGTATCTTGACATATTACGAGCAATATCTGCGTCATTCTAATTATGCCTTTTTTTTCGTTTTACTTCTCTGTTTTTCTCTTTATACTTCTGTGTCTTCTGGGGATTGGGTGCTCATACTTTTCATATATAGAATTTTCTTCTCCTCACTACATTTTTTGATTTCTTTGTTTATTTTTAATTTATGTTGGGTATCTCTTTTTTCAAGTTTCAGCAAAGACGTGCTCGTACGTTTCTTTGACGTTTCTGAAACCGAAATCCTGTAACTTCTGGTCCAGTCTTCTCTGGTATAGGTCCCTTATGGATTCCTCTTGAAGTAAATTTATGTTGAACTTTATTTCTTCTTCTTTCTGTTCATTTTCTACTTGGTCTTCTTCGTGTTCTTTCTTCCTTCTGGTTTGGGTGCTCAACGTGTAGGGAAACCCCATTTGTTTGAAATTATTATTCGGTGGTCAGTGCCACATTCGGCTCCTCTCTTTACTTGGGTGTCTCTAATTTTGATAGTACTACTTTTGCTGACAATTATATAATCGATAATGGATTTGATGTTTCTCGTTGTTTGTACATACGTGTATTTATGTATATCCTTATGTCTGAAATGCCGTTAGTAATTTTCAGATTGTTCAGTTCGCACAAGTCAATTAGTCTTTCTCCATTATCGTTTGTCACATTTGCTATTATTATTTCTTGTGTTGGTCTCACTCTTCCGATCTCTTCTTGTAAGGTATCCATGAACTGATCCTTTTCTGCTACCAGACTGTTATCCGTAGGGCCGTATACTCCCAGTATCACGATTTGCCTGCCATAGATTTCCATGATGAGTTTTACCATTCGTTCATTTATGGGTTCCCATGTTTTTATTGTTTTTACCCATTTTTTCTTGACTAGTATCCCCACTCCGGCAGCTGCTCTTTCTTCCTTCTTTTTCCTATTCCAACAGTAGAAGATGTCCAGAAGATATTCAATTATTTTGCTCTTATTTAAATCTGTGGACCACACTTCATCTTGGGCTATCAATATTGCGTCATATGCGTAACAGAGTATTTTATTTCTTTGTTTTTCATTCTGTTCCTCTTCCTTTGTTAACGCTTTTAAAGATTTCATCCATGATTAAATTGAAGAGCATTGAGCTCAATGAATCCCCTTGTCTTATTCCGCTGCCTATTTCTATAGGTTCTGTAAGTTGTTTATCTATTGTGACTTCCATTTTGTTGTTATGGTAGATGTTTTCGATAGTTTTTATAATATTTAGGGAAACTTCTCTATTATTCAGAACATGGATTACATCTTTGAGTCTTACTCTGTCAAACGCTTCCTTTAGGTCAATCAGACACATAAATGCTGGTCTATTATATTCTAGTGATTTCTCAGAATAGTGGGTACCTACAGAACTCCTAGCTATTTGAAAATGTCTTTATATATGGTTCGCTTAAAGAAGATACAACCTTTTACGCAAATAAAGGATAATGATACAACATTAATTCAAGAGATTTATAAACAACATTTACAACACACATAGTTATGAGATATAAAACGCAATCGCTATATGCAAGTCTAATTTTCAAGGTGAATAATAACCTGCTGTCATTATATAGAATATTACCTGCTGAATATTAAAATATTTTAATCCACATTCATTAAAACCTACATAAAAGGTTGATACAAGTGCACTACGAATACGTTTTATTGAATAACATCGTAAATATTACACAGTATGCGCAAAAAATTATATTATTATTACAAAACACAAGAAACTAAAAGAAAAAGAAATGATACTCGCACTAAGCAACTGATACCTGCCATGTGAATTTTTTTGGATGAGCACAGAAAACCTAAAAGTCGGAATATGGTCCTCAAGTAATACAGCTTGTTAAACATCACCACAACATCTGTGCTGTGGTACCACAGCAGAATGAAGTTGAATTAACTGATTGGGGTTCGTTTGTTGAAGTACCACAAAATTTTATTGGAAATAAAAGGCAGATCATTACTTAGAATAAGTAGAAAATATGCTTTCCAGTTTTAATAACTTTGTTTGTGATATGAAGAATAAAGCTCACTACTCATAGTCATTTAGATCGATTTTCTGAAAACTGACTAACTAAAATATAAGTCAGTCGACTATTCTATTGTTAAAGTCGTCATTAAGTTTGTTATGGTCATCTACATCCTTGAAAGTAGTTTAAAAAGAAACTTATTTGGTAATGGTTAACAAATGTTATATTTGTTGTGTTTTATTATATATTTCTTCTTGTTTTTTTTTTTAAATGTATTTACAAATTTCATAAGATACAAATCTGTTGGGTTGTGTTATAGTTTGAAAACAACAGGTATTATTTAAATTACCTTTGGTCTTTTCCATGTAAACTGGAATGGTGGAGTTTGGTGATAGAATACTGATGATTGTGAAGCAGGAAAATCAGGATCTTCCCATAGTTCCCCACGTTTCAAACAAGCCCTTCGTATTCGATCGTATTCACTCATCCCCTGCAAAAAATAAAAAAGTATTAAAACTCTAAAGAGATCTTGCACGAAAATCGATCTAAATAAAATCATCATATTAACACAACACCGACCTGGTTTTTTATCAACGACAATTTGGTTGGCTATGATTAGAATTATAATAAAGTGTAAAATTAAATGACGAATAATAGTTTATCATCAATGGCAATTCCTACCACTTCTCAAAGCAATCCAACGTATTCTTCTGTTGCATCTCAACAAACTAGTCCAAAATTTCTACTAAATGAACAAGCCATCATATTCAGTTCAAATAATGGCGCAAAATTGCAAGATTATTTATTTCAACCAGTAGTTGAACCAAAAAATAATATTTATTCGTTAAAAATCTCTAATAATCGAGTATAGATTTATGTTTCCAGTAAAGCTGTAGTTGATAACTTTCTCAATAAAACAGGATCTATAAAAATAAATAATAAAGTACATCCAGCACGTAGACTAATCACCCCATCAGAACGACTTCTCTTATCTAATGTTATTCCAACACTCCCACACGAAATATTGAGCAATCTTCTCCAAAACCTAGGCTTGAAATTAATGTCACCAATAACATGTTTGAGAATTAGAGCTACAAATCCTGAAAATAGCTACGCACTCAGTTTTAGGCATTAAGTATACATACAATCCCTAGATAATATTTATATCCAAACCCGAATTTATCGTGCTCAATAATGATAATGTTAGCTACAACGTATTTTTAGTCAGAGACCAATCGCTTTGTTTCAAATGCAAACCAAATAGCCATCTTGCCTTACAATGTTTATCAGAAACCTCTCCCCTAATCAATTCTGATATTTTAGATACTATTCCAACTTCTAATCTATCTCAAAATATCATGTCGCAGATTCCCACAACAGACAGCCACGATAGTAATTCACCCTCATCTCCTCTTTCAATAAATTTAATGGAGGTATAAAGTAAGGCTTCCCATACATCTCGGTGGGTAGGTTGGTCACGGGCAGTGTCTTTTGTTACCAGGTAGAAAAGGTAACGTGATGCTGTCTATCAGTATAGATATCGGCCGCATTAAGAAGGTTATTAGTTATTAAATCTGCCAATTGGTATTTGAATTAAAATCATCTACATTACACCCTCATTTACACATATCGCATTTTTCGGTATTTTAAATTAAATATTAAACCACCGACCTCAATATGTTTTACACAAACAGTATAATACTACATTGAAAGAAATACTAAATATAAATCTCAGCATGTTGGAATATTTGCGTCCTCTAATAAGAAGACAAAACACACATTTCTACAAAATGTAATCCAATGGATGAGAAACTTTAAGACCACAAACGAACTGTTTAGAACAGGTGCAAACAGGATTAGAATATCTTCGATGGCATTCAATCTTCGGCAAGAAACGAAGATAAAAAAAGATGATATTGTAATTTCAAATATGGTAAAAAAACAAACAGCTTGAAATAATTAAATAAAACAAAACGTCCGAATCTCTTTCGATGAGTAAACAAAACCACACTGTACTGCTACCTATTCTCCAATTCCAATTCTTAAACTTTCCCAAATGAAGTGGAACGAACCTTGTCAAATACTGACTAATTGTTTATTATGTAAAACCAGTCGTTTGTTGGTGAACTGTTCCGCTTAATTATTACAATATAAACTGTGCAAGTAATTGTTCTTTCTTCATTTAAACTTTTCTATGGTCTAATTAGGAGTGAATATTTATTCTGTGTTCTCATACAACGGTTGTTGAATTAAATAGAAGTTTGTACACAATGTGTTGTTATTTACAGTGATAAGGAGATACATTCTTTAGATTATTGTAGTAAAATTCTCTCTAAAATGTGTAACAGTGCTAATTAAATCTAGGCTTTGTTTATAAGAAATTTTTTCATGCATTGTCACTGCATTTTCTGCCTATTTTGTGGAAAGTATATGCGAATTTTGTTCACGTAGTGTTGTATGTACAACACTTCTTAATTATTATTAAAAAAAAATGATATATTCTCACAAATAGATTCATATATTTAATAAATACTGTCCTTGTGTATACTATCAAAGAATTTTTAACGACATCCATTAAAAAGGAATTTGCAAGATCTAATGGCAAATTATTAACTAACTGTTGACATACACTTTTAAAATCCAAGGTATTTTATAATTAGTGTTATAATCTTGAAAATTTGTCATTTTTATTTGTTTTTAATTAAGCAAACATTTTTACAACAAAAGATGAGCATCTCTACTTCCTTATTATACTGTATAGCATTGAATATGTAACAACCCGTGACGTGTAAAGTGTTAAAACTGATAAAAATTTAGCTACGATTGGTTGAGCCTCTTTATGCGATAACTTTTAATAAACAGTAAATTTTCTTTCAGCAAATCAGTAGTGGAATTAAAGTTATCGTCCAATTGTCAGGGATTTGATCTCTAAAAACGATTTATCATTCATTCATTTATTATATATATATATATATATATATATATATATTATATATATATATATATATATATATATACCGGGTGGTGAATCGTCAAACGGGCCATAGGAAACTCAATGAGAAATTTTAAATTGTTGAATTGCTGCTTTCCTAATTATTTTAGATCAAAAGTCATAAAAAACTATTTGTAGAGGACTAAAATCTGAATTAAAAACAAATGTTAAAACCGTTCTACGAATCAAATGTACTTCAAAATTTTGCAAAAATATAATAGATTTTTCAGACCACCCCTAAAAGTTAGCCCACACGTAATACAAGAATATATAACGTGTGTGTTTTATCATATTGATGTCAGATATTTGACAATTTGAATTGTCAATTTTTTATTTTATGATTAAATTATAAACAATGAATTTTACTAAATACTACTACTACTGAACAATATTACTTTGTGAACAAATAAATTATATTGTTTACAAATCGATCAATATAATAAAATGTACTCAGTTGAAGAAAAATGGCATAATGTTGTATTCAGCCAATAGCGCGAACCTTTTCCTGTCACTACCGGATCTTTATTTAACGTAAGATATTCTAACACCCTAAAATTTAATTCCATGTTATACAACAATTCAATAAATTCCAATATACTGTTAGTGTGATCTTTATTCCTAATAATAATATGATATGATAATTCCTAAACATAAAACTATAACAAATGTTATAATAAAACATGAATAAAACATTTTTATTATTGCTCTTTTCTCCTTAACTGAGTATATTTTTTAATCAACTTAATTTTTCTTTTAAATAATAAATCACAAAATTTTGGTAGTCGATGTACGATTTATCGCAGTCCTCACACGGGATTCTGTATACACCTTGATTTTCTAATGCAACTTTTATTTTTGCCGATGATAATAATATGGTTGCGATGTTGCGATTTTTTGTTTGTGTTAAAAATAGTTTCTATTTTGTTTTTACGTAGCACTCTGCTGATTTTGTCTGTCGTACCCTTTATATAGGGCAGGATAGTTTTTCCGACTGGTTTTTCTTCTTCTTCTGGATCTTTGATTTTGTTTCGGGATTTCTGTGCCTTTTCAATCGTATACATGGAGAAGCCATTTTTTCTTAGAGCTGTTTTGACTTTTTGCATTTCTTCGTTCTTATGTTCCTTATCTGCCAGTCTCTCAGATCTTGTTATTAGGGTTTTTATTACCGAATTTAATTGTGCAGGATGATGGTGTGAGTCTGCGTGTGAGTACCTGTCAGTATGGGTTGGTTTTCGGTATACTGTGTGTCCTATGCTTCCGTCTTCTTTCTTAATAACTAACACATCTAGGAATGGAAGTTGTTGGTTATTCTCCCGTTCCATGGTAAATTGTATTTTTGGGTGGATATTATTAATGTGTTGTAGGAATTCGTTAAGCTTCTCTTCTCCATGCGTCCAGATAATAAATGTGTCATCAACATACCTAAGCCACAGTTTGGGTTTATGCTTTGCTGTTTCTATTGCTTTTGATTCTATCTCTTCCATAAAAATGTTGGCTATTACGGGTGACAGTGGTGAACCCATCGGTGCCCCTTCAACTTGTTTGTACCTCTGGTCCTTATAGATGAAATAGGTGTTGTTTAAGCAGTGCCTTGTCACGTTTAATGTATCCTGTGGTATTGGATATTTTCTGAGTATAATTTCTAATGATTCTTCTACTAGCACATTGGTGAATAATGAGACTACATCAAAGCTCACTAATAAGTGTTCAGGTTCCAGAACAACGTCCTTGATACGGTCGATAAAGTGGCTTGCATTCTTAACGTAAGAATCCGCTTTTTCTGCATATGGTTGTAGCTGGTCGGCCAGAAATTTTGCCAGTAATTGTAGCGGTGACCCGATAGAGCTGACTATTGGTCGTAATGGTAACTCTGCCTTAAGTACTTTGAATAAACCGTAAAGTTTTGGACATCTTGACGACTTTTCTCGTGGAATAAGCTGGAACTGCTGTTCTTTCTTGATCTTTGACGCTTGTATTTTAGCTTTAGTTGTTTTCTCCAGATATGTTGTTGGGTCTGTTGGGATTTTTTGATATGCACTTTCGTTTAGTATGTTCTCTATTTTTGTGTCATAATCTTTAATATTCATTATGACATTAGCGTTGCCCTTGTCAGCTGGAAGTACGATGATGTCTTTGTTTTGTTGTATATTCTTCAAGGCTTTCTTTTCTTCGTAAGTTAAATTCTTTTTCGGAGCCTTGGCTGTTCTTAATATTTGTACTACATCTTGTCGAATAATTTCGGCTGTTTCTGATGGTAACTTAGTGATAGTTGTTTTCACTTCGCTAATGCTGTTTTCGACGGGAATCCGTGTCGGTGCAATAGCAAAATTGAACGCTTTGGAAAGGACACTATTTGTAGCTTCATCCAAATTAATATTTGAGAAATTCTGGATTCTGTTGTTGGTAGTTCCTTATTTTTTGGTCGTTGTTGTAGTATCAATTTTTCAAACTTTTTGATTTGTTTTTTCTTGGCGAGATCAGCATCTGTCTCCGATCGA